TGAAAATAGTGGAAAAACAACAAGAATTCACAAGGCGAACTTAGCACAGTGCGTAGGCAACTGGCTGAGTCAGTGGGATCGTCGGTTCGAATCCTACTGAAAGAAGTCTGATGAGGAAATGTGGTGATTTCCGAAATAGCTATCACTTCTGCCATTTTTTTCAAAATTATTGTTGCTTTTCCACAATAAGTTTTTCATTAAAAACGGCCTCAAGCTCAATAAAAATTGTTGAATATAATTGTTATAAGGCCATAAAATAACAAATACATATACGTAGCATATATAAATGCTAAAGTTATATAGAATTTGATTCTACATAACTTTTGTACGAACATTATTTTTGTGCGACGCTTTGATCACCACCGGGAACGCACTAAACATAGCGATGTAAGGGAACCGGCGTAAAATTCATTTCCATATCACGTCAACCGGTACAGTACGATGGCCAAAATTTTAAAGGTCGCGTAGATGTCCCCTATTGGAACCAGTCTGGCCTTTTGAAAAATTCAACATGGCACAATTCAACTATGTAGCCGTAAATTAGATTTTTCTTTACAACTTTTGTGCTACCGAAGAATCCAACACTTAAAGAGAAAATTCTTTACAACTTTAGATTTGAAATGCTACGCATTTTTAACAGGAATTGTTGAAAAATGGTGAAAACCGTGACAATGTAAAACTTGTTCGCACTTTTTGTTAATTATTTACAATAAAAAATATTTTCTAACAACTAATTTTTAGGCAGAAAACATAACCGACCTCAATTCTCATATAAATATTTAATTAATTTATTTTCTTCATGATCCAATGATTGGATCTAAACTAGTGATTCCCAAAGTGGTCCAGGTGGACCCACGGTCGAATCTTCACTGATGGCTCAAAAACTGACTCTGTGTCATGATCTGGGGTCTTTTTCGAGGCTAATGGAGATAAGATTCACTTTTCTGTGGGGGAATATGCTTCGGTCTTTCAGGCTGAGGTAATTGCAATACTCAACGCCATGGACTAAGTGGTGGAACATATGTAGAGGGGAAGGTGTGTACGTGACTGCAGTGATAACCAACCTGCACTTAAGGCATTGACCAGCCCTCTATTTGAGTACCTCCCAACTAGTTCGGCAAGGCAAGTCTCTACTAAAATATGATGGTGAACATAACGAGGTTGTTTTACTCTGGGTGCCAGGCCACTCTGGAGCACCTGGTTATGAGACATCTGATCATTTGGCCAGAGTTGGCTCACACTATCCGTTCCTCGGTCCGCAACCAGTTTTAGCACTCCCACCTTCGGCAATCGAAGCCACCATCAGAATCTGGGTGAATACTTCGCTCAGAAAGGACTGAGAGGCACCGAGGGGATGCAGGTGGGCAAAAATCATGTTGCCTTCTATCTAATTTTTGGCTCTCACTGAGCAGACGACACTGCAGACAACTTGCTGGACTGCTGACTGCTCACTTCACGTGGCACAAACACCTGACAGTGATAGGCGTAAATGACAAGTCCAATTGCCCATCTTGCCTTGAGGAAGATAAGACAGTGGAACACATTTGTGTTTCTTGCGTGCTTGCTTATTTGTCATCGATTTTTTTAAACTCGTTCNCCAACCCGCCTAAGTACCTACATTTTTCGTACCCCATATACCACTTTACTTATAATTTTCACCTTTTAAGTGCCTTTTTTAAATTTCTTCAAACATTTACATATTTTGAAATTCAGTGGCAGCGCTACACACCTTCGGAAAAAAATTCTAAAAAATCAACGGTAATTTTAGCCACTTGAAACCTGCGCATTATCACACTAAAATTGAATCGGCCATAAACCTTCATAGTCATAAAAAATTTTAACACTTCTGAAAAACAAGTTTGAAATTTTGGTGAATTTTTTTTTCAGTGTTCTGCAAAATTTTAAGCTTATATTTTAAGTTTCTATCGTTTTTGTTAGGGAATGAATTTTTTTTAATTGAAAAATTTTTAAAATTAAAAAATAAACATAAGTGGCAAACAATATAATTTGAATTTGGTCCAAATTGATATCCTCTGTTGTATGTATGTATAAATATGTATTATCAATGCCTTTTTAATTTAATTTTTATGAAAATGACATAACCTTGCTTTATCTGTTTTTTATGTGTTTACGTGTTTAAATAATGCTACGATCTTGGTTTTAAATTAAGTATACTTCATTAAATGTTCATGTTTTATTATTATGTAAGTTAAGAAGAAGATGTATTATGTTCGCTTAAGTACCCTCAAAAAGCTGACATTTTTCGTGAGGTACTTAAGCGGGTTTTACTGTATATATAAAATAATACAACAGATTTATTCTTCCGTTTATTGCAACAAAAATAGGCAGTTTATAACAGTGCTCGGTCGATAGTGGAATGGATACAATCAGCTTCCATTTTGGTATGGCCTACTTCAAGAAACTTTTGCTCAATAAGGATATTGTAATTTATAGCTGTAGATAACAAAACATTAGCCATAATACAGTTTTGATTTTGATATGTGCATCCGTCGCTATAAAACATTACTGTAATTGGCTCCCCGGCACTATTTTTTGGTACTACATTTTTTTCTATCAAATCTACCCACACGCTGGAAAACTCTTCTGCATTTAATCTTCTTCTGTTTCGTTCTACATGTAACAATAATTTCCTTGAGATATAAAAAATTAAAGCTTATTCGCTGGCTATTACCTTATCTTAAACGCATAAAGTAATACTCTAAGATAGAACAATAATCGAGCGACAGAAGCACAATATGTTGGATTTAGCAGTTGAATTTGAACTGATTATACTTAGCAGCTTTACTCATCAAACAATTTTTGACAATTATATTTTTATATTGACGTATTTTTTTGCTTGCCAACTGCGGAATCGCCTACTCCTTCGAACTGCATCAAAAGGTCAATTTTGCCAAAAAACGGATTTAGCAGGTGAAGTATTCCTCTCTCCAATTAAAAGTACAAAGTCCACATATAAGATAATTTAAGTAGGAACTAAATAATACCAGAAAGTATGATACATATTATTCAATCATGAGGTAAATTGTCATAGTAGGTGTGGTAATCTTCAGGAAGTAATCGTTTGAAATACTGGAGATCTCATACTTTCTGCGAGCATTCGTACGCCTACTCTCGTATAAATTCATAAGGTGAAAAACGGCAAGGAAATAGCTACTGGTGATTTTCTTTGCGGTATTACTTGCCATTCGTTGGAGAATCTTAGTTTGAAATGTATGTCGCCACTTGGTGTATACCGTAGGGCTCGTATATCAGTTACTTTAGCAGCACCCTTGCCGCGACCGCGACGAATGCTATTAAAGAATTGAACTGTGTTAAAGCTTTAAAAGAACGTGTAACTAAGATAAGTTACGTCATATGGTTTTGGATTTTTTCTAGCCGAACTACATACTTCAACGTATTCTGCAGGTACCTGGATATCTCTTTTCTTAAGTGCTCGGTCGATAGTGGAATGGATACAATCAGCTTCCATTTTGGTATGGCCTACTTCAAGAAACTTTTGCTCAATAATGCTATTGTAATTTATAGCTCTAGATAACAAAGCATTAGCCATAATACAGTTTCGATTTTGATATGTGCATCCGTCGCTATAAAACATTACTGTAATTGGCTCCCCGGCACTATTATTTGGTACTACATTTTTTTCTATCAAATCTACCCACACGCTGGAAAACTCTTCTGCATTTAATCTTCTTCTGTTTCGTTCCACAAGTAACAATAATTTCCTTGAGATATAAAAAATTAAATCTTATTCGCTGGCTATTACCTTATCTTAAACGCATAAAGTAATACTCTAAGATAGAACAATAATCGAGCGACAGAAGCACAATATATTGGATTTAGCAGTTGAATTTGAACTGATTATACTTAGCATTTTTTTGCTTGCCAACTGCGGAATCGCCTACTCCTTCGAACTGCATCAAAAGGTCAATTTTGCCAAAAAACGCATTTAGCAGGTTTACACTCTAAGCCGACGATATACTCCACGGGCATGATTCAATAATACAAGGTTGTGTAATTTGTGACAGCTAAAATTTGAGATTTGTATTTTGGAAGTAGGAGAAAGGGGAAGAATGTGTTCGCATTTTGCGAAAACGGTAGTAGAATGGTACTACAAAAAGTACGCAAAGTATACAATTAGAAGAAAATGTGTATTATTAATTCTATGCGAATTTGCAATATATTTGGTGTTTTAATGGAAATACTAAACAATACATAAAACAAGTAGGAAAGTCTAAGGGCCAATTTCACAATGCGTAGTTAACTCAGAATCGGGAGTTAACTACAGAATTTTGTACTAAAAATCTCTAGTTAACTGTCGATTCTGAGTTAACAACGCACTGTGAAATTGGCCCTAAGTTCGGGCGCAGTCGAACATTAAATACCCGGCGCAAGTATTAAATATATGTTTTCTCACCTTTCCGAAGGCTACCGCTACATGGTAAGCTTTTATATGGCAAGCACAATAACCATACCGAGTTTGGTACAAATTGGTAGAACGGTTACCGAGATATATATAAATGGGTGGTGCCACGCCCATTTTCTAAAATTGTATGATAAACGTATTTCCTGGTAAATAATTGTTGGAACCATCAATTTTGAATAAATTAGCTTTGATATTTACTGATTTATCGAAGATTTTGTATTTCTCTAAATTACCGTTATATGGGATGTGGGCCTGGTTCATGTCCGATTTAAAAAATGTTTGGCCATTTGGTACATTTTACCAAAGCCAATAACTGTGCCAAGTTTGGAAGAAATTGGTTAAGCGGTTACCAAGATATACACATGTAACCATAAGTGGGCGTGGCTACGCCCATTTTCCAAAAATTTATAATATTCTTATTTTTCGTCT